CCCACGTCCCTAGGCAAAGCAGTAAAGTGTTGGGGAGAGAGCTTGTCACTGCATCCTCCGACCCTCGAAAACCAGGTGCCACCAAAGGCCCAGCAACGGGGCCTGGTGACTCAGACACCACACCAACACAGGCGGAGGACGTGCCGTGCCGAGTTTGGCCCCAACACTTCCCCCACAGCAGGTGTAGACTTGGTGGCAAAGGCAACCAACAGCCTCGTCCTCCCCTGGCCAAAGGGAGGCATGTGACCTTGGCTTGGCCAATCGGATTCTCACCTGGGACTTTGACACTGGCAAAGAGGGAAACACCCAGAGTCAATCTGGCCCAGCTGGGGCTCCCTGCCCACCCACCAATGCCTGGCCCCTGCACGCCCAAAGTCCAGCTTGTCAGCTGCTGTCCACACAGAGGGTACCCTAGAAGCTTCCATGCAGCTCCTGTGTGCGCTCTGTCATGTTTGGTATGTCTCTGTCATGTGCAGCCTCAGAATCCTGACTGGTACTGTGAGATGCTGGCCAAGCATCAAGAACCAAGGACCATGGACATGGTCCAAATACACGATGTTTAAAAGCAGGTGACAAAAGAGCACCCGATTCTAGTTTTAAGCGACACCCACCCCACAAGAGTAAGTGCATGGACAAACTCCAGCTGGAGGGACTTTTTTTTTTTGTCTTCACGCTTTCTTATTTCCCAAATGTTCCATGAATGTGATTACTTTTGTAAACTGGAAGAGAGGTGATAAATGCTGTTTTTTAACTAGAGAGAACTTCTTTCTGATTAGTGGGGAAGACGACAACAGGGCCAGCCCCACCCACGGGACGTGGCTGCTGTACCGCCAGCCTGCAATCAGCACACGGCTGATCTTGCTTGTGTAGCAGCATTAAACCAAGGTGCTGCAGTCTCTCCTAGGAGACCACTGGCCCCTGAGGGCCCTACAACCCAGAGTTCCAATCCCCCCTGAGTGGCCATCCAGTCTGGGCTGGAGCACTCACCACATTCTGAGGCAGCACGTCCAGACCAGAGGGACTCCCTTATTCTGGACCAAGTCTTAGGCTTCGCTCTGCCTCACGGCCTTTGCAAATGCTGTTCCTGCTGCCTGGGACCCTCTTCCCAAAGGTCTCTGTGTGGCTACTTCAGTCTTCAGGGTCTCGACGGAAACATTGAGCACTCAGGGCTCTAATGGGAAAGGGGTCCCACATGGTGGGCAAACCTGAGGCGAGGGCTACCATCTGACCTGGGAGGTGCCTTCTGGGCGTTCACCGCCTGGCTAGCAGCCTCCATGGCAGGCCAGGAGGTACCTCTTCCAGGCAGCCTTCCCTGATCACTGGGCTCCTGCAGGCCCTGTCCTGACCCACCACACCAGCCGTAACTGCTCTCCACCATCGACTTGCAGCTTCTAGCCCCCCAAACTGGCGGAGACAGTGAGCAAGAATGAGAGCGACTAAGGGCGGAGAGTGGGCGTGACCTCTGTCTCAGGACACCGGGGTTGTGGGGAGGCTTGGGAGCAGGAAGCTGGGAAGGGCTGGTAGGCACAGATGAGTGAGGCAGACCTCCCCAAGTGAAGCCCAGAGAGGTGGATGGACCCACCTAAGGTAACACAGAGCTGCGGCCCAGGCCTGGCACTCCTCCCCCGGGGACCCACTCTCCAGCCTGAAGAGAAGACTCTGGGACCCCTGCCTGCAGCCAGGGCAGGCCTGACCATCACCACAGAGCACAGACTGGCCTTAGCCACATCAGGTGCCCAGACACCAGGCCCAGCCTGCCAGCTCGGCTGTGTGACCACCAGGGTGTCTCTTCCCTCCTCTGGGCCTGCAATCCCTCCCCCGTAAAACACAAGCCTCTCCGACTCAGCTGCCCCATGTTCAGTGGTACTGTGGCCCGGCAGCCCCTCCTGGCAGGCAGGCAGGGGGGGGTGGAGCAGCACAGAGCAGACCCCAGCAGCCCCTCTGCCTCCTTCCAGCACCTGCCCACCCACAGATCGCATCAGCCCCCACAGAACCCACAGCAGCACCCTCCGCAGTCTGTCCATTCAGCAAACGACATGGGCCCACAAGAGACGGATGTAACGGCCAGGAGCCCCTTCTCTCCAGGATGGAGGCCTTTGGAATACAGGAGCCTGAGACCCTCAAGCCCCAACAGAAATCGCACACCTCTGGATGCAAAATCTCATCCCCACTCTTGCAGAGGCTCCAAAGCCCCCAGCGCAGGGCTAGCCAGGGCTCTGGGAGCCCTCAGAACAGCCCCCCACCAGCTCCTAACCCCTGTAGTCACACTTCCTGCAGGGGGCTGGCCGAGGGGCAGGAGGCCCCAGCGCCCAGGGCTGGCTCTGCTCCTGGAGGGGCAGGGGCAAGATGCCTGAGGCAGGATCCTGGCCCTATCACTTCCTCACTACGTGATTCTGAGCCAGTCTCCTCTCTCAGCCTCAGTTTGCAAATCTGTACCATGGAGACAACTGTCCTCATCTCCCAGGCTTGTGTGAGAAGGGGCTAGTGACAGATAGCCCCACGCCGCACCCCGAAACAGGGCCTGGCCCACGGGGGTTTCCAGTGGGTTTCACCAGGGCTCCCAACAGTGGATGGTGAAGGCAGGAAACAGCAAAGAAGGATAAAGCCTGGTCTCTCCATGCCACAGCACCCCCACTCCCGCAGCGGGCCCAGTCTTTCCCCTGGACAGCCCAGGAGGCAGAACATGGCAGGAGCGGACTGCCAGACCTCCGCAGTCCTGGTAGGGGCCAGACACAGACAGGCTCCCAGGCCAAAGGGGTGCCCTAGGTCAGGAGGATGCGGGGCCCACCACCCACCCGTGGGCCTGGGCAGCTGCCTCCCCACACCTAGGAATGCTCTGCTAGGGGAGGCAAGAAGGGCCCTAGGCCACGGCCCACACTGACCCATTGCCCACCCACTCAGAAAGGGAGCTTCGTCTGCTGCACACCCAACATGGAGCAGGAGCATGGGCCCTCGTATCCCCACAGCAACCCTGCAAAGAAGGCCTGCCAGCCCAGATTTCAGGGTGAGGCAGTGAAGGCTCAGAGAGGTCGAGCGCTTGCCCAAAAGCACCAGCACAGGAGCGCAGAGGCGGGACGCAAGCCCAGGTCTGGCTCACTCCACAGCCCCCAGCCAGGAGCGGAGGCGGTGGGGGATGGAGACAGGCTGGTTTCCACACCGTGAATTATTCAGTGGCTAATTCTGCTCCTCAGAGAGGAGGCAGGAGAGTGAGTCAGAGCCCTCCCACAGCGGAGGAGGGAAGAGTGCTCACAGAGGTCCAGAGCAGAAACCAGGGTCCTCTCAGGGGCAAGGGGCCCTGCAGGAGGCGGGGCCTCCACAGGCTTCAGGTGTCTGCTCCTCGCTCACTAGCCACCACGTGTCCTGGAATCCCAGCTGGGAGGCGCCTATGAGGCCAGGCCCCCCGGAGGGCAGGAGGGGCGGCAGCCAGTCCAACCGTGGTTGGCAGCATGGGCAGGTGGCAGCCCACGGGCCAGCAGGAAAGCTCTGCATGGGTCACAGACACCCTGGGGGGGCCCAGGGGCTGCCCTGGAGCTTCAGAAGTGACAAGTGGCAGAGATCTTCCTAAAGTACAGCACAGCCTCCTGGCCTGCTGAAGCAGAGGCCCCGGGGACAGACGTGAAAGCCAGCACATGTGAAGTTCCTGGGGAGCACAGAGAGGTGTTGCCCCTAAACCAGTCAGTCCCCCAGGGCTGGGCTTCTAGAAATGTGGGTGTTGGGTTTTATAAAAATCCTCCTGTCTCTGGGCATGCCTGGGCCAAACCCTTGCCCCCTTTCTAATCTGGTTAGACAGACCAGTGGGCTGGGGAGCGGACACCAGGTGAGCACTGAAGCTGGGAGCGGCAGGCTCCCCTGCAGAGCTGTGGTGCCCATGGGGCCCTCACCCTCTGCTCCTGGTTCTCCTCTGGGTCAGGGAGGCCACAGAGGACAGAGTTCGGAATAGGAGAGGTGTGACACAGTCCACGGAATACTGGATTTCCAGGCCATCTTGCCAAGCAAAGCTGTTCCCACCCCAGCCTGGGGCTCTGCAAGGATCACTGGAGAGAAACCCAGAGGTGTTCCGGGTGATCAAGCATGGGGCTTCTGGAATCCAGATCCCCAGGCAGGAAGGAAATGCCCACAACCCAGTCGCCTGACCTGAACTCGAATGGCAGTGGCTCAGCAACAGGGGTGGCGCTGGGGCTCAGGATGAGCCCGGGCCTAGGGCTCCACTGGGATAGCGTGATCCCTTCGGGAGAGGGCTGCAAAGGGCCCTCGCTACCCACTAGCTCTGCCCAGGCTCAGCTCCTTTCCTGCCTTCCAGACTGTGGCCCCCCTTGTGTCCCTGTGGCCAGGCCTCCCTCCCACAGGGACCACCGGCAGCCAGGTCTCTGGGCAGGCTGGGAGTCACCACAGTGCACACAGCACTGCATGTACATCCCACTGCCTGGCTGCCCAGCAAGGGGTCATTACCCACCAGGGAGGGCTGGCATCTGCCCAGGCCACTCATCCACCAAAAGCTTGGCAGTGAGTGGGATTCCCCAGCTGGGGGTGAAGGGGTGAGGAATGCCTTCCTGGCTGCACCCAGTACTCTTAGGCATCGGCTTGCTCTCAGCCCTGGGTCCTCTGGGTAGGGAGGGGGCTCTGGCCCAGTGATGGACAGGGGCCTGGGCAGGATCTGACAGCTGGCAGAGGGAGATCCATGGAGGGGAAGGTGGCGGCTACACGTAACCCCAGAAAGGAAAGCCTTAGCGACACCAGACAAGAAGGCTAGAATCTGCAGGAGGGCCGCGGACCCTCGATGGGGGCTGGGTGGGTTCTGAGACTCTCGAGGAGGGGAGACTCGTGACCCGGGAGGAGACTTTCGAGAAGAAAGGGGGCTGTGACCCCCGAAGAGGAGGGAGCCGTGACCCTCGATGGGGGATGGGGAGTCTTTCGACCTTCGAAAGGAGGGGGCCGTGCCCCTCAGAAGGGAAGGGCCGTAACCCGGGGCCCTGACCCCCGACCCGGGGGGCGCGCGTCACCTGCTGGTAGTCGGTGTCCTCGGGCCGGAACTGGCTGCTGGTGATCTCCCAGCGCAGGTCGAAGTGGGGCAGCCGGTGCAGGAGGTTCACCCACCAGGGCGGCGCGTAGCTGACCCCGGCCATGGCGGGCCGGCAGCTGGAGCGCGCGGCCGCGCGGGGCTCCCTCGCTGGCCCGAGGCGCGGGGTTCAGGGGCCGGCCGACCCCGGCCTGGCAGCCCGCATCGCCCGCGCGCTCCTGGGCCCGGCCCGGCCCGGTTCAGCCCGGGTCGGCGCGGCTCGACTGCGCTCGGCTCCACTCGGCCACCCGCGCCCGCCGCCTCTTTGTTCGCCGCCGCCACCACCTCCGCCGCGCGCGCCCCCGCCCGCCTCCCCGCCCCGCTCCCTGGCTCCGCCCCCCTCCGCCATTGGCCCGTCCGCCCCATGGCCACGCCCCTCTCCCGCCCTCCCGCCGGCTGCTGCCCTCTGGCCACTCCCCTCCGCCCTCCCACCCGCCGGCCCCGCCCCTGCGTTGCCATTGGCAGGCTGAACGAGGCTCCGCCTACTAGGGCCCCTCCCCCCGGCCGAGGGGCGCCGGGCCGGGCGGGGAGGACCAGCCAGCCGCGGCGTCGTGGACGGGTTCCTTCTCCCGCGCGGCCGCGGTCTCTCCAACCGCAGATGGGTTTGGAGCCGGAACCTGGCTGCACGTCTAGCTGCGCTTCACCCAGGCGCTCGTTCGTTGGTTCGACCACTGCACGTTCATTGAGCCTCAGCAGGGTCGGCCTGGAGGGGCTGGACTGGCCTCCTCTCCATGACCCCGCGGCTCGCACGCCGCCTGAGGTGCCCAGCGAGGGACTGAGTGGCTTGTCTGTAGAATAAGGATGATCTAGATTCAGAGCCTGGCTTGGTCACTTAGAACTGTGTGTTCTTGGGCAACTTACGTAACCTCTCTGTGCATCAATGTCCACGTCTGTAAAAGGGAAGTACAATGAGTGTACATTGCTCAGAACACACACACCCAGTAAGAGTGTGTAAGGGGACCAGCGAGTAGATTCAATCCCTACCTGGCCTTCCCTTTGGGGAAAGTTGTGTCCTTTGTCAAGACCTAAGAGAAAGACGGTGCCCTGTCCTGGCATCCTGGGGCCTGGAAATTCAGGCAACTGCCAGGGAGGGCCTAGCGTGGACTTTGGAGCCACACAACCACACTTCCTAAAGGGGCATCTTGGTGCCTTTAAAGTGGACATTGGAACCCCAAGAACAGAGAAGGCTGTACATGCTGTAGGTGCTTGGTGCCAGTGTGCCCCTCTCTCTGCACCCCAGGGGCAGTAGGTGCATCCTCTTGGCTCTGGCTCATCACCACCCTGGGTCATTATTTCTGGACCTCCTGCATTCTGAGAAACAGGTTTCCACGCCTGGGGCTCTGCTGCCTGCTGTGCTCCCACTCCGCCAGCTCTGTGGGCAGACAAGCCCATCCTGGAGGGTTGGACAGGGCCCTTGCAGGCAGGGACAGCTCTGGGCAATGTCTTCCCAGGAAGCCTGTCCTTCTGCTCATCTGACTGCCCTGACTCGCTTAGTTTCCTGTGGTAAGGCCGGGTGGCCTCACTGGGCCTCCTACAAAGGCCAGCGGGCACGGGCGGGGTGCGGTAAGAGGCTTTGCAAAACTGGTTTCCACCCTCAGTGTCATTTACAGACACCACTGGGCTGGGGAGTAACCCAGGCGGGAGGAGGAAGGTCACATTCTCCATCCCTACAGGGCACAGTTTCTGGATCCTGTTATTAGCAGCAGATCACACACCCACACACCTCCTGCTTTGCCCCAACTCCCAGGCCCCCAACACCAGTGTGGGGGCCTACCTGGGTCCCCGTGTGGAGGCATGATGTCCATGAGCTCCCTTCCATGTTTCCAGAAGCCTCACAAAACTGTGCACTTTCCTCTGATAAGGCCAGAAAGCCTGACCCAAACACTATGTGAAATGATAACTTGGGTGTACTGGGTTGAATTGAGTCCCCCAAAAAAGGTATGCCCAAGTGTTAACTCCTGGTGCCTGAGCCTGTGATCTTCCCTGGAAATAGGGTCATTGCAGAGGTGACCAAGTTAAGATGAGGTCATACTGGATTATGGAGGGCCCCAATCCAAAGATGGTGTCCTTATAAGAAGAGGGAAATTTGGACACATTGAGGCAGAGATACAGAGACACAGGGAGAATGCGATATGAAGACGGAGACAGAGATCGGGGTGATGCATCTACAAGCCAAGGAACCCCAAGGATTGTCAGAGCCACCAGGAGCTGGGAGAGAGGCCTGGAGCAGATTCTCCCTCACAGCCTCAGAAACCAACCCTGCTGACACCTTGATCTCAGACTTCAGCCTCCAAAACTGAGCGACAATAAATTCCTGCTGCTGAAGCCACCCAGTGTGTGGGACTTTGTTACAGCAGCCACAGGGAACTCGTACGTCGGGTTCAGAGCCTCCGGTTGGCAGGAGTTCTGTGTCTCTGATTGGCATGAAATGGCAAAGGAGCTCATCGCCGATGAATCCCTGCCATGTGTTTGGTTATGAAACCTTTTCCTAAGGGGGTCCATGGACGAAGAATGATGAATGGGGTCCAATGTGGAAAAAACAAAGGACCCACAACATGTGGTTCTGGAAAAGCACCACCAGAGCCTCTACTGCTGGAGCCTGAGCCCCGGAACCTGCTGCTGCTTGAGGTCTGGGTGTTGGTGAGAAAATCCCCCTGGGACTGAAAAGCCCCCGAGAAACCCAGTAGGACCTGGGGGCTCTGGTGTCTGATGCTGGCAGCTGTGTAATCTCAGGGAAGCATCCTTACTCCTGTGTCTGATCTGCAAAATGAGGTTCCCACGGCCCAGCGCCCAGGATGGCGAGGGTTAAAGAGAATGCTGGGTATGGAAGGCAGAGTGAGGAAGGCCTGCCCCAACCCCGCCCTCCTTTTGCCTGGTCACTGGCTGGAGCCGTGGGGGTTCCTCCTGCCCATGAACGACTGTGGCTAGAGGCTGGATTTTAGCTCCACTCTACAGATGGAACAACTGAGGCCCAGGTCCCACTGTTGCTTGGGAGGCTTGAGAATCACCACCCAGTCAGGGAACTAGGATTCAGCCTATTGTTGGCCACAGACTAGACGACCTAAATAGGGCACCATGGCCTGAGAAGTCAGAGTGGTCTGCAATGCTGGCCACAGACCAGGGTGCCTTTGGGGACTCAGCGGTGATTCAGGATGAGGTGGCCAATGGGGAAACCGCTAGTCCTCCCGAAGCTAAGGAGTTGAGGAAGCAGCCCCAGGTGGCGATAAGGAGCCGCAGCATCCCCTCCTCCTACCATGGGGACCCGGAACTTCACAGCCAGGCCGCCAGCCAGAAGGGACAACAACCCCGCTGTCAGCAGCCGAGCAGCCCTGAGCCAGGCACCCCCCTGAGCACCCACACCCACCATCTCCTCCAGCCCCTATCCAGGTTCCCACACTTCACAGAGAGGGTGGCAAGGGGGGTCTGGAGGCTCAGAAATGGAGAAACTTGCCCCCAAGCCACGCATTCAAGTGGCAGACAGATGGGCCTCAGTTTCCTCTATTTGAAATGGGACTATACATAGTGCCACCTCCCGGGGAGGTTGAATGGTGGGGGCTGTGTGTGGAAGCCCAGGGCGCGAGCTTGGCTCCCGGACGCCCTCTGTCTGTGGGCACGTCCTTGCTCTCACCCAGCTCTTTTCTGCTCCAGAGCCCAGATCTTTTTCCTTCTTTTCTTTTACAGTTAACCATCCCAGACTCCAAGTCACAGGTCCTCTGTGAGCCTTTTCACAGCTAAAATGGGTAGAGTCATACAGCTCATATGAATGTGAGAAGTGTGTAAAATAACACGATACACCCGCACTCGTCACAACTTCCAAAAGGTGGAAACAACCTAAATGTCTGTCAGTGACGAACAGAAAAGCAAAACGTGGTATGGCCACACAGTGGCATATCATCCGGCCATAAAAAGGAATGAAGTGCTGATTCATGCTACAACGTGGATGAACCTCACAAACACGATGCTGAGTGAGAGAAGCCAGACACAAAAGGACTCGCAGTGTTTGATGCCAGATATGAAATGTCCAGAACAGGCAAATCCACAGACAGAAAGTGGATTAGTGGAGGCCAGGGGCTGGGGGAGAGGAGATGGGGAGTGACTGCTCATGGGGATGGGGTTTCTTCTCAGGGTGATGAGAAGGCTTTGGAACTAGATGGTGGTGATGGTAGCACAACATTGTGAATGTACGAAATGCCACTGGATTGTTGACTTAAAAATGGTTAAAATCGTGATGTATATTTTACCACACACACAAAATATGATTACACGTGGAAGTGCCTCACTCAGTGTCCCCCTCCCTCCCTCCCAGTGAAGTAGAGTTGGGAGTGAAGGGCAGGGATGAGAAAGTCTGTAAGGAGAAGCACCGAGAGCTGAGTGGCTTAGAAGCATCTGGAACGGAGTGGGAGGGCATGCCAGGCCAGGCACTCCCCAGGGTCTGTCTCCAGGACAGGAAGGTGGCTGAGTTGAGGCTCCTGAATGGTTGTCCCAAGACCTGTGGGCGCGGGGAGAAGGGCCAGGTGGGGGCCCGGTCCCCAGACGCTGCGGCAGAAGCCAGAACAATGGAATCCCCTGCGTTGGGGATCTTCCAAAGAGGTTCACATTTTCCGTGGAGCCAGAGCTCATGAGGACTGGCAGGCAGAAGAGAAAGCTGGCGCCTGCTGCGATGTGGCTGGGTGATGTTCTAGCTGCACAGCCAGCCCAATGCCCGGCTCGCCACAGACACCTGGCTCGAGGATCCTGGCCACAGGAAAGCCACAGGAGCACTGCTTTCAAGCCTGCCCACGATGGTACTGGCTCCGTGGCTCTGGGGGCTGGGAGAGATGCCAGCCAGCATGGTCCTCAAGAGTCCTCATAGTGAGCCAAACACAGACCCAGCAGAACGAGGATGTGAGCACCCCTCACTTGTCTGGAGTCATCTAGCCATATTTGTGCAAATCCAGAGAGCCCCCGGGAACCAGCAGGGATGGCCTCTGAGTGGCCAAGGATACTGTCCCATGTCCCAGCACACAAGAGTGGTCTCTGCCAGGGTCTCTTTACTCTTACCTGACTCACGATACTGACAAGGCTGGTCTCCGGGTCCAAGCCCAATGCAGATCAAAACCAGCACCCTGAGGGAGGTAGCCCCAGGGCTGACAGTAAAAGGAATCACAGAGACAGTCTCCCGCCATGTGGGGCAGTTTCCCCACAGCCCCTCTGGCATTCCTGCCCGTCTGGCAAGCCAACCATGCCGCTAGGTTTTGCTGTGATGAGTATTGTGCTGAGAGTCACGGGACCTGCGGCTTGGTTCAGGC